TTAAAAATATTTTTTTGTTGTTGCAATATTAGTGGAGAACGATGGTAATGTTTATCAGGGGGTAAGGCAGTTTTTTTGTCATAGAAGTTATTTTTAATTTTTTTTTTATAAAACATCAACATCCCTTAAACTTATGTTTTTATAAAATTCCACGTCCCTTAAAAATATTTATTTTTTTATAAAAGTACACGTTACTTAAAAAAAATTTTTTTATAAAAATCCGCGTTCCTTAAAAATATTTTTTTTTATAAAAAATCAACATCCCTTAAAAATATTTATTTATAAAAGTCCACGTCCCTTAGAAATAATTTTTTTAATAAAAATCCGCGTCCCTTAAAAATGTTTCTTTATAAAAATCAACCAACATCCCTTAAAAATATTTGTTTGTAAAAATCCACATACCTTAAATATATTTATTTATTAATATCCACGTCCCTTAAAAATATATTTTTTATAAAAATCACGATCTTTAAAAAAAATTTAAATAAAAATTCACGATCCTTAAAAATATATTTTTTATAAAAATCACGATCTTTAAAAAAAATTTAAATAAAAATCCACGTTTCTTAAAAATATTTTTTTTATAAAAATCCACATTTCTTAAAAATATTTTTTTATAAAAATCCACGTTTCTTAAAAATATTTTTTTATAAAAATCCACGTTTCTTAAAAATATTTTTTTTATAAAAATCCACGTTTCTTAAAAATATTTTTTTATAAAAATCCACGTTTCTTAAAAATATTTTTTATAAAAATCCACGTTTCTTAAAAATATTTTTTTATAAAAATCCACGTTTCTTAAAAATATTTTTTTATAAAAATCCACGTTTCTTAAAAATATTTTTTTATAAAAATCCACGTTTCTTAAAAATATTTTTTTATAAAAATCCACGTTTCTTAAAAATATTTTTTTATAAAAATCCACGTTTCTTAAAAATATTTTTTTATAAAAATCCACGTTTCTTAAAAATATTTTTTTATAAAAATCCACGTTTCTTAAAAATATTTTTTTATAAAAATCCACGTTTCTTAAAAATATTTTTTTATAAAAATCCACGTTTCTTAAAAATATTTTTTTATAAAAATCCACGTTTCTTAAAAATATTTTTTTATAAAAATCCACGTTTCTTAAAAATATTTTTTTTATAAAAATCCACGTTTCTTAAAAATATTTTTTTAAAAAAATCCACGTTTCTTAAAAATATTTTTTTATAAAAATCCACGTTTCTTAAAAATATTTTTTTATAAAAATCCACGTTTCTTAAAAATATTTTTTTATAACAATCCACGTTTCTTAAAAATATTTTTTTATAAAAATCCACGTTTCTTAAAAATATTTTTTTATAAAAATCCACGTTTCTTAAAAATATTTTTTTATAAAAATCCACGTTTCTTAAAAATTATTTTTTATAAAAATCCATGTTTCTTAAAAATTATTTTTTATAAAAATCCACGTTCCTTAAACAATTTTTTTTAATATCGAACCAAGTTCCCCAAAAAAAATAAATTTTTATAAAATTATTCGTTCCTTAGAAAATATTTCCGTTAAAAAATACTGTTATAAAAATGTATGTTCTTTTAAATATAATTGTTTTATAAAAATCCACTTTGTTTATTTTCTTTACTAAAATCCCCGTTTCTTTATTTTCTTGAAAATAATCCACATTGTTCAATTTATTTAGAAAAACCCACATAGTTAATTTTGTTGTAATTTTCTTTTTATAAAAATTATTTTTTGTTATAAAATTATTTTTTTTTTATAAAAATCCAGGTATTTAATTTTTTATAAAATCATCCACGTTGATTTTTTATTTTTATAAAAAATCCACGTTGTTTATACATTCTAAAAATTTTTTTAATTAAAAAAAAAAAAAAAATTATTAATATTTTTTTCTTGCAAAAATCCAAGATGCCCTCAAAAAATTCCCCTGAAAATTATATTTTAAAATTATCATCCAAGAATAAATTTTAAAAATTATATCAATTTTTTGTTAATACAATTTTATTTTTTCTCCCAATATCTCAAACTTTCACCTCAAGGGAGATTCCCTTTTTTTCGCCCTAAATTTAACAAATAAATAAAAAAGTGATAAATAATATAACAACAACAATGAAAAAAATATTATCTAAAAACTATGCATTGTTTATGTGAAATGTTAAATTGCGTGTCCGGTTTCTTGCTAATTACATGATGGAAAATATCTTATTCGCTATTTGCTTATTCATGCCCGGCTGGCTGTGTGACGATATTTTGCAAACACTGAAAGAAATGCTGGGCGATGGATTCTTTAAAAAATCCACGTTTTGTGGTCGGAAGGTCTTTGGAAAAAATTCTTTAAAAAATCCACGTTTTGTGGTCGGAAGGTCTTTGGAAAAAATTCTTTAAAAAATCCACGTTTTGTGGTCGGAAGGTCTTTGGAAAAAATTCTTTAAAAAATCCACGTTTTGTGGTCGGAAGGTCTTTGGAAAAAATTCTTTAAAAAATCCACGTTTTGTGGTCGGAAGGTCTTTGGAAAAAATTCTTTAAAAAATCCAAGTTTTGTGGTCGGAAGGTCTTTGGAAAAAATTCTTTAAAAAATCCACATTTTGTGGTCGGAAGGTCTTTGGAAAAAATTCTTTAAAAAATCCACGTTTTGTGGTCGGAAGGTCTTTGGAAAAAATTCTTTAAAAAATCCACGTTTTGTGGTCGGAAGGTCTTTGGAAAAAATTCTTTAAAAAATCCACGTTTTGTGGTCGGAAGGTCTTTGGAAAAAATTGTTTTAAAGATCCACGTTTATTGGTCGAAAGGTACTTGGAAAAAATTCTTTAAAAAATCCACGTTTATTGGTCGAAGGGTAGTTGGAAAAAATTCTTTAAAAAATCCACGTTTATTGGTCGAAGGGTAGTTGGAAAAAATTCTTTAAAAAATCCACGTTTATTGGTCGAAGGGTAGTTGGAAAAAATTCTTTAAAAAATCCACGTTTATTGGTCGAAGGGTATTTGGAAAAAATTCTTTAAAAAATCCACGTTTATTAAACGAAGGGTCCTTCCAAAAAATTCTTTAAAAAATCCACGTTTATTAAACGAAGGGTCCTTCCAAAAAATTCTTTAAAAAATCCACGTTTATTGTTCGAAGGGTACTTGGAAAAATTTCTTTAAAAAATCCACGTTTATTGGTCAAAGGGTCCTTCCAAAAAACTCTTTAAAAATCCACGTTTATTAAACGAAGCGTCCTTCCAAAAAATTCTTTAAAAAATCCACGTTTTGTGGTCGGAAGGTCTTTGGAAAAAATTCTTTAAAAAATCCACGTTTTGTGGTCGGAAGGTCTTTGGAAAAAATTCTTTAAAAAATCCACGTTTATTAAACGAAGGGTCCTTCCAAAAAATTCTTTAAAGAATCCATGTTTTGTGGTCGGAAGGTCTTTGGAAAAAATTCTTTAAAAAATCCACGTTTTGTGGTCGGAAGGTCTTTGGAAAAAATTCTTTAAAAAATCCACGTTTATTAAACGAAGGGTCCTTCCAAAAAATTCTTTAAAGAATCCACGTTTTGTGGTCGGAAGGTCTTTGGAAAAAATTCTTTAAAAAATCCACGTTTTGTGGTCGGAAGGTCTTTGGAAAAAATTCTTTAAAAAATCCACGTTTATTAAACGAAGGGTCCTTCCAAAAAATTCTTTAAAGAATCCACGTTTTGTGGTCGGAAGGTCTTTGGAAAAAATTCTTTAAAAAATCCACGTTTTGTGGTCGGAAGGTCTTTGGAAAAAATTCTTTAAAAAATCCACGTTTATTGGTCGAAGGGTCTTTGGAAAAAATTCTTTAAAAAATCCACGTTTTGTCGCTGGAAGGTCTTTGGAAAAAAAACTTTAAAAAATCCACATTATGTGGTCGGAAGGTCTTTAGATTTTTTTTTTTAATCTACGTTTTTTGTTGGAAAAAATTTTTTAAAAAATCTACGTTTTTTGTTGGAAAAATTTTTTTAAAAAATCTACGTTTATTGGTCGATGGGTACTTGGAAAAAATTCTTTAAAAAATCCACGTTTATTGGTGGAAGGGTACTTGGAAAAAATTCTTTAAAAAATCCACGTTTATTGGTGGAAGGGTACTTGGAAAAAATTCTTTAAAAAATCCACGTCTTGTGGTCGAAAGGTCTTTGGAAAAAATTCTTTAAAAAATCCACGTTTATTGGTGAAAGGGTACTTGGAAAAAATTCTTTAAAAAAATCCACGTTTATTGGAGGGTGTGTCCTTGGAAAATTTTTTTTTAAAAAAATCCACGTTTATTGGAGGGTGGGTTCTTGGAAAAAAATCTTTAAAAAAATCCACGTTTATTGGAGGGTGGGTCCTTGGAAAAAAATTCTTTAAAAAAAATCCACGTTTATTGGAGGGTGGGTCCTTGGAAAAAATTCTTTAAAAAATCCACGTTTATTGGTCGAAGGGTACTTGGAAAAAATTCTTTAAAAAATCCACGTTTATTGGTCGAAGGGTACTTGGAAAAAATTCTTTAAAAAATCCACGTTTATTGGTCGAAGGGTAGTTGGAAAAAATTCTTTAAAAAATCCACGTTTATTGGTCGAAGGGTAGTTGGAAAAAATTCTTTAAAAAATCCACGTTTATTGGTCGAAGGGTCTTTGGAAAAAATTCTTTAAAAAATCCACATTTATTGGTCGAGGGGTCTTTGGAAAAAATTCTTTAAAAAATCCACGTTTATTGGTCGAAGGGTACTTGGAAAAAATTCTTTAAAAAATCCTCATTTATTGGTCTGATGTTGCTGGAAAAAAATCGTCCATTAAAATTTAATTTCAATTGCTGTCCATTTCCATGGCATACTTTGGGGGGCTTGTCTTGATTTAAAACCACAACTGTTTGTTTCATTGGATCTTTTGTGAATAGGATATTTTATTTCAAATTAATATTTTCGGATATCAATTTTTCATCACCCCAAAATGAAAATTCTTATCCCTATTACATTTCCAACATGATTATTTAATTTTGTCATTTATAAACTATTTTTTCATATTCCGAACTTTGTATAAAAATGCACACCGTTTTAAAACGGCACGCAATCTGTTGGGAATATTAGAAAAGTTAGCAGTCAATTGGAGAACATATTTTCAAAATTAAAAAAAAAAAATGAATTTTTCCCTATTTCAAATTCTGGTGGTGTTGTTTTTGATAATTGAAAAGGTAAATTATTTTAAATTTCGAAGGATTCCTACAAGGATTACAAAGGATATTTTGTCTAGATTTCATCGATACCCCCCACACCGCCGGTGGATGAGGAGGAACACACGAATGGCCGTTTGCAACATTACATCATGCGTTTCGACATCATTGCGAAAAGTTTCAAAGAGGAATATTTACCGGAGTTGGGAAATTTGAAATCCCTCTTTGAAGCCACCCTGGCCAAGGATTCCATGAAGGATAAACTTCTGCTGCTCGATACCTACAACGATAATTTGAGTAACGATTTTGCGGATTATTTGCAAACAGAATTGGACAAACAATATATCACCGAGGACATACTCATCCACCGTTGGTATGTCCAGGAGATCCTGCCCCAGCTGAATGACCATCTGGCCAAGGAGGCTCAAATTTTTTTGGATAAAATTCAGGAGGCCCACAAAATTCCTGGGCTCGATGAAAAATTCGAACTGTACACCAAGGCGGCGGAGAGTATTTCGGAGGATTTATGGGACTATTTGAATGAAAATCCTGAACCACCACCGGTGTTGAATGCCCATTTGAAATTCTTCCAGGAATACATTGGCTATTTATTGCAACAATGTGTGGTGGCCACATTCGAAAATGAATTGCGCAGCCTTTTGAAGGAGGTAGAGGCGGCCCTGGCCGGCAGCGATAATGCCGAGAAGTTAAGGGTTGTGGATTTTTTCGATGAAGTGTCGACGAAATTCGGAAGTTTTCTCAATGAAAAAGTTATTGAATTTGAAATTTATAAATTTGGAGAGTGAATAAATTTTGAGTGGATAATTCGAACAATAAACGTGGATTTTTTAAAGAATTTTTTCCTAGTACCCCTTGATCAATAAACGTGGATTTTTTTAAGCATTTTTTTCCAAGTACCCTTCGACCTTTAAATGTGGATTTTTTAAAGAATTTTTTCCAAGTACCCTTCGACCAATTAACGTGGATTTTTTAAAGAATTTTTTCCAAGTACCCTTCGACCAATAAACGTGGATTTTTTAAAGAATTTTTTCCAAAGACCCTTCGACCACTAAACGTAGATTTTTTAAAGTTTTTTTTTCCGACCAACATCCCAACAATAAACGTGGATTTTTTAAAGATTTTTTTCCGACCAACATCCCAACAATAAACGTGGATTTTTTAACCATTTCTTTCCCACCAACTTCCGAACAATAAATGTGGATTTTTTAACCATTTCTTTCCCACCAACTTCCGAACAATAAACGTGGATTTTTTAAAGATTTTTTTCCGACCAACATCCCAACAATAAATGTGGATTTTTTAAAGAATTTTTTCCCACCAACTTCCGAACAATAAACGTGGATTTTTTAAAGAATTTTTTCCGACCAACATCCCAACAATAAACGTGGATTTTTTAAAGAATTTTTTCCGACCAACATCAGATCAATAAACGTGGATTTTTAAAAAAATTTTTTCCGACCAACATCAGATCAATAAACGTGGATTTTTTAAAGAATTTTTTCCAACCAACATCCCAACAATAAACGTGGATTTTTTAAAGATTTTTTTCCGACCAACATTCCAACAATAAACGTGGATTTTTTAAAGAATTTTTTCCGACCAACATTCCAACAATAAACGTGGATTTTTTAAAGAATTTTTTCCGACCAACATCCCATCAATAAACGTGGATTTTTTAAAGAATTTTTTCCGACCAACATCCCATCAATAAACGTGGATTTTTTAAAGAATTTTTTCCGACCAACATCCCATCAATAAACGTGGATTTTTTAAAGAATTTTTTCCAAGCAACGTCCGGCCAATAAACGTGGATTTTTAAAGAATTTTTTCCAAATACCCTTCGACCAATAAACGTGGATTTTTTAAAGAATTTTTTCCAAATACCCTTCGACCAATAAACGTGGATTTTTTAAGGAATTTTTTCCGACCAACATCCCAACAATAAACGTGGATTTTTTAAAGAATTTTTTCCGACCAACATCTCAACAATAAACGTGGATTTTTTAAAGAATTTTTTCCGACCAACATCTCAACAATAAACGTGGATTTTTTAAAGAATTTTTTCCGACCAACATCAGATCAATAAACGTGGATTTTTTAAAGTATTTTTTTCCGACCAACATCCCAACAATAAACGTGGATTTTTTTAAAGAATTTTTTCCGACCAACATCCCAACAATAAACGTGGATTTTTTTAAAGAATTTTTTCCGACCAACATCCCAACAATAAACGTGGATTTTTTTTAAAGAATTTTTTCCGACCAACATCCCAACAATAAACGTGGATTTTTTTAAAGAATTTTTTCCGACCAACATCCCAACAATAAACGTGGATTTTTTTAAAGAATTTTTTCCGACCAACATCCCAACAATAAATGTGGATTTTTTTAAAGAATTTTTTCCGACCAACATCCCAACAATAAACGTGGATTTTTTTAAAGAATTTTTTCCGACCAACATCCCAACAATAAACGTGGATTTTTTAAAGATTTTTTTCCCACCAACTTCCGACCAATAAACGTGGATTTTTTAAAGATTTTTTTCCCACCAACTTCCGACCAATAAACGTGGATTTTTTAAAGATTTTTTCCCACCAACTTCCGACCAATAAACGTGGATTTTTTAAAGATTTTTTCCCACCAACTTCCGACCAATAAACGTGGATTTTTTAAAGATTTTTTTCCCACCAACTTCCGACCAATAAACGTGGATTTTTTAAAGATTTTTTTCCCACCAACTTCCGACCAATAAACGTGGATTTTTTAAAGATTTTTTTCCCACCAACTTCCGACCAATAAACGTGGATTTTTTAAAGATTTTTTTCCCACCAACTTCCGACCAATAAACGTGGATTTTTTAAAGATTTTTTCCCACCAACTTCCGACCAATAAACGTGGATTTTTTAAAGATTTTTTTCGCACCAACTTCCGACAAATAAACGTGGATTTTTTAAAGATTTTTTTTAAACCAACATCAGATCAATAAACGTGGAACCAATCATAAATTTTTGATTCGATTCCGAATCAATTCCAGATGTTACCAAAATTTTCTACCTCCTGAAGTGGTAGACCTTAACTGATTTCCAATAAAGTTTTGACTTTAAAAACGATGTGTTTTCAAAATTTCCGTTTCATTTATTGCTCTTTTTATGAGAAGGCCAGACATAGCTGCATCTATGCGATGTTAAAATAATGAAGCTATGTGCAATGTCACGTCCAAGCTCGATTATAATGAGCGTGACCAATTCGCTTATGGTCTATGAATAAATGCTGTGGATTAGTAGGCGGGATGCACGGGATTTATGTGGCTTTTGGGAGCAATGGAAAAAATTCATATAAATAGCAGTCGGTTCGAAAGCGGATCGAGAAGTTTGAAGTGGAAATTTTTTTCGAAAAATTTAAAAATGAAAATTCTGATTATGGTGTTGCCGCTTGTGGGAATATTTAATGCCGCATTGGCCTCCGAGGTCTACGACGAAGATGAGCCACTGGATCCAGCCGTTATTGATCACGTCAATCACAAAATCGAAAGGGTTTTGAGGAAGAACCCCCCTGCCTACCCTCCACAAAGTGGCCGGGATGTGGAGCTGAACTATAACCTGGAAGAGCTGCAGGAGAGCAAACTCCGTGCCAATGCCACTGAGGCCGATGAGGATATTGCCCTGAATGCCATTATGACATTTAATCGATATTTGATCCAATTGCAGGATCTCCAGCACTCGGTGGCCGAAGCCGAGAGGGAGCTAATCGGTTTGGCAGAATATGGAAATTTCAATCAAAACCAAAACGAAAAAGCCTTGGAGGTCTATCGCCTGCTAAGGGGGGCGGCTGAGAATGGCTCAACTTTTGAAATGCCCGAAGCCTTGAGGATCTATGATCTCTTCAAGGTCCAAGAAATATTTGGAGAGAAATTTCTGGCCGAGGAGCAAATGAAAGCCAGAGAGCAGCAAGAGAATCTTGAAGAGCAGCAAAGAGAACAGGAAGAACATTTCCAAAAGCAACAGAGAGAACTACAAGCAGAGAAGGAGAAATTGGGAGAGGAGTTAAGGAGAGAGGAATTAGAAAATCTGCAAAAAGAAGAAGAGAAATTAAAGGAAAAGGAAGTGGAAATGGAGGCGGAAATGGTAAATCAAATAAGGGAAAGAGAAGAGCAAGCAATGCGGGAAGAGAAACAAAAACTGGAAATGGAAGTTGGAACTCAGGAAGAACATTTGAGAGAGGAAGAGAGAAAATTGGCAGCTGAGTTGGAGGAGGAGGTAAAAGAGAAGGAAGTGGAATTATTAAGCGAAGAGGAAGTAAGGATAAGGGAGGAAACTGAAAAACTGGAAAAAGAGCAGGAGCAGAAATTGCAGCAAAAGGAAGCGGAGGTGGAAGAGTTATTGAAAGCTCGTCTGGAAGAAGATATTCTCCGAATGGAGGAGGAAAATGAAAAATTAGAAAATGAATTAAAAAGAGAAGAGCTAGAATTACAAGAAAATTTTGAAAAAATTCACGAGGCAGAACAGGCCGAGGAACAACAGGAGGAATTAAAACTCCAAGAAAAAGCAGTGGAAATTGAAAAGGAATTGGAAAATAAATTGGAGATCAAAGAAAATGAAGCAGCAGAAAAATTACAGGAAGAAGAAATTCGCTTGGGACAAAAGCAAGTCGAACTGGAAGCGGAACAAGAGAGAAAACTGGAAGAAAAAGAACAAGAAGAGGAGGAAACTTTAAAGGAAGAATTACAAAAAGAACTCCAACAAATGACAGATGAAGAGGAGAAAATAAAAAATGAATTGGAAACAAAGAGGCAACAATTAAAGGAGGAGGAATTGCAAATGGAAGCGGAATTCGAAGAGGATCTGAAAAGAAAATTCCAAGAAAATGAAGAAAAGATTTTACAACAACAACAATTAACATTGGCCGAAAAATTGGACAAAATTTTTCAGGAAAAAATGACAGAAATGTTAAAAAGCGAAGAAGAAAAATGTGAAAAAATTCTCCAAGAAAAAGAAGAGGAATTTCTCAAAGAGGATGAAGAGAAATTGCGGGAAAAAGAAGAGGAAGTGGAAAATGAATTAAAACAAAAATTAGAAGATATGGAGCAACAAATAAAAAATTTTGAAAATGAAAGAGAACTCGAATTGGCGGCAAAATTACAGGAAGAAGAACAAAAATTATTGGAACAGGATGTGGAACAATTAAAGGAGGAGGAGGCAAAAATACAAAAGGCCGAGGAGGATGCGATCAGTAGCCAGGAGAATGAATTAAAACAGCAAGAATTCCAAATCGAAGAGGAAATGCAAGAAAAACTTCGAGAGGCAGAGGAGGCCCTGAGCAGCTTCGAAGGCTCTCAAACTAGAAATTTTACAGAAGCACAAAATTCCACACTTATGTCTTCAGATGAAAATTCGGATACCCAAAAATCACCAGCCACTGACCAGGCTGCTTCCACCTCACCTTCCAACAGCGAATCTGAGAAGTATTCAAATTTGCCAATTGTTTTGTCATTTCATCAGTCACCTCGGCTGTCGTGGCAGGACTACAGCAATATTGTGAGAGAACTTACAAAAACCTTGGTCAGAGGTCTGGAAAAGGGAGAGGAGAAGGTTATTAGTTTTAGGGTTAATTTTTAGGAAGAAAATTTTCTTAAATACAAAAAAAAAACAAACAAAAAAAAAAAAACAATAAATAAATAAAAATAAAATAATTTTAAAAAAGGTGGATTTTTTAAAAAAAAATTTCCGACCAACTTCCGACCAATAAATGTGGATTCTTTAATGAATTTTTTCCAAGTACCCTTCGACCAATAAACGTGGATTTTTTAAAGAATTTTTTCCAAAGACCTTCCGACCACAAAACGTGGATTTTTTAAAGAATTTTTTCCAAAGACCTTCCGACCACAAAACGGGGATTTTTTAAAGAATTTTTTCCAAAGACCTTCCGACCACAAAACATGGATTTTTTAAAGAATTTTTTCCAAAGACCTTCCGACCACAAAACGTGGATTTTTTAAAGAATTTTTTCCAAAGACCTTCCGACCACAAAACGTGGATTTTTTAAAGAATTTTTTCCAAAGACTTTCCGACCACAAAACGTGGATTTTTTAAAGAATTTTTTCCAAAGACCTTCCGACCACAAAACGTGGATTTTTTAAAGAATTTTTTCCAACCAACTTCCGACCAATAAACGTGGATTTTTTAAAGAATTTTTTCCAACCAACTTCCGACCAATAAACGTGGATTTTTTAAAGAATTTTTTCCAAGTACCCTTCGACCAATAAACGTGGATTTTTTAAAGAATTTTTTCCAAGTACCCTTCGACCAATAAACGTGGATTTTTTAAAGAATTTTTTCCAAGTACCCTTCGACCAATAAACGTGGATTTTTTAAAAAAATTTTTCCAAGTACCCTTCGACCAATAAACGTGGATTTTTTAAAGAATTTTTTCCAAGTACCCTTCGACCAATAAACGTGGATTTTTTAAAGAATTTTTTACAAAGACCTTCCGACCACAAAACGTGGATCTTTTAAAGAATTTTTTCCAAAGACCTTCCGACCACAAAACGTGGATTTTTTAAAGAATTTTTTCCAAAGACCTTCCGACCACAAAACGTGGATTTTTTAAAGAATTTTTTCCAAAGACCTTCCGACCACAAAACGTGGATTTTTTAAAGAATTTTTTCCAAAGACCTTCCGACCACAAAACGTGGATTTTTTAAAGATTTTTTCCAAAGACCTTCCGACCACAAAACGTGGATTTTTTAAAGAATTTTTTCCAAAGACCTCCCGACCACAAAACGTGGATTTTTTAAAGAATTTTTTCCAAAGACCTTCCGACCACAAAACGTGGATTTTTTAAAGAATTTTTTCCAAAGACCTTCCGACCACAAAACGTGGATTTTTTAAAGAATTTTTTCCAAAGACCTTCCGATCACAAAACGTGGATTTTTTAAAGAATTTTTTCCAAAGACCTTCCGACTAAAAAACGTGGATTTATTAAAGAATTTTTTCCAAAGACCTTCCGACCACAAAACGTGGATTTTTTAAAGAATTTTTTCCAAAGACCTTCCGACTAAAAAACGTGGATTTATTAAAGAATTTTTTCCAAAGACCTTCCGACCACAAAACGTGGATTTTTTAAAGAATTTTTTGGAAGGACCCTTCCACCAATTAACTTGGATTTTTTAAAGAATTTTTTCCAAAGACCTTCCGACCACAAAACGTGGATTTTTTAAAGAATTTTTTGGGAGGACCCTTCCACCAATAAACGTAGATTTTTTAAAGATTTTTTTCCAAGTACCCTTCGACCAATAAACGTGGATTTTTTAAAGAATTTTTTGGAAGGACCCTTCCACCAATAAACGTGGATTTTTTAAAGATTTTTTTCCAAGTACCCTTCGACCAATAAACGTGGATTTTTTAAAGATTTTTTTCCAAGTACCCTTCGACCAATAAACGTGGATTTTTTAAAGATTTTTTTCCAAGTACCCTTCGACCAATAAACGTGGATTTTTTAAAGAATTTTTTCCAAAGACCTTCCGACCACAAAACGTGGATCTTTTAAAGAATTTTTTCCAAAGACCTTCCGACCACAAAACGTGGATTTTTTAAAGAATTTTTTCCAAAGACCTTCCGACCACAAAACGTGGATTTTTAAAGAATTTTTTCCAAAGACCTTCCGACCACAAAACGTGGATTTTTTAAAGAATTTTTTCCAAAGACCTTCCGACCACAAAACGTGGATTTTTTAAAGAATTTTTTGGAAGGACCCTTCCACCAATTAACTTGGATTTTTTAAAGAATTTTTTCCAAAGACCTTCCGACCACAAAACGTGGATTTTTTAAAGAATTTTTTGGGAGGACCCTTCCACCAATAAACGTAGATTTTTTAAAGATTTTTTTCCAAGTACCCTTCGACCAATAAACGTGGATTTTTTAAAGAATTTTTTGGAAGGACCCTTCCACCAATAAACGTGGATTTTTTAAAGATTTTTTTCCAAGTACCCTTCGACCAATAAACGTGGATTTTTTAAAGATTTTTTTTCAAGTACCCTTCGACCAATAAACGTGGATTTTTTAAAGAATTTTTTCCAAAGACCTTCCGACCACAAAACGTGGATCTTTTAAAGAATTTTTTCCAAAGACCTTCCGACCACAAAACGTGGATTTTTTAAAGAATTTTTTCCAAAGACCTTCCGACCACAAAACGTGGATTTTTAAAGAATTTTTTCCAAAGACCTTCCGACCACAAAACGTGGATTTTTTAAAGATTTTTTCCAAAGACCTTCCGACCACAAAACGTGGATTTTTTAAAGAATTTTTTCCAAAGACCTCCCGACCACAAAACGTGGATTTTTTAAAGAATTTTTTCCAAAGACCTTCCGACCACAAAACGTGGATTTTTTAAAGAATTTTTTCCAAAGACCTTCCGACCACAAAACGTGGATTTTTTAAAGAATTTTTTCCAAAGACCTTCCGACCACAAAACGTGGATTTTTTAAAGAATTTTTTCCAAAGACCTTCCGACCACAAAACGTGGATTTTTAAAGAATTTTTTCCAAAGACCTTCCGACCACAAAACGTGGATTTTTAAAGAATTTTTTCCAAAGACCTTCCGACCACAAAACGTGGATTTTTTAAAGAATTTTTTCCAAAGACCTTCCGACCACAAAACGTGGATTTTTTAAAGAATTTTTTCCAAAGACCTTCCGACCACAAAACGTGGATTTTTTAAAGAATTTTTTCCAAAGACCTTCCGACCACAAAACGTGGATTTTTTAAAGAATTTTTTCCAAAGACCTTCCGACCACAAAACGTGGATTTTTTAAAGAATTTTTTGGAAGGACCCTTCCACCAATAAACTTGGATTTTTTAAAGAATTTTTTCCAAAGACCTTCCGACCACAAAACGTGGATTTTTTAAAGAATTTTTGGGAGGACCCTTCCACCAATAAACGTAGATTTTTTAAAGATTTTTTTCCAAGTACCCTTCGACCAATAAACGTGGATTTTTTAAAGAATTTTTTGGAAGGACCCTTCCACCAATAAACGTGGATTTTTTAAAGATTTTTTTCCAAGTACCCTTCGACCAATAAACGTGGATTTTTTAAAGATTTTTTTTCAAGTACCCTTCGGCCAATAAACGTGGATTTTTTAAAGGATTGTTTTGAAAGGACCCTTCGTTTAATAAACGTGGATTTTTTAAAAGAATTTTTTCCAAGTACCCTTCGACCAATAAACGTGGATTTTTTAAAGAATTGTTTTGAAAGGACCCTTCGTTTTATAAACGTGGATTTTTTAAAGAATTTTTTTGGCAGGACCCTTCGTTTAATAAACGTGGATTTTTTAAAGAATTTTTTGGAAGGACCCTTCCACCAATAAACGTGGATTTTTTAAAGAATTTTTTGGAAGGACCCTTCGTTTAATAAACGTGGATTTTTTAAAGAATTTTTTGGAAGGACCCTTCGTTTAATAAACGCGGATTTTTTAAAGAATTTTTTGGAAGGACCCTTCGTTTAATAAACGTGGATTTTTTAAAGAATTTTTTTGAAGGACCCTTCGTTTAATAAACGTGGATTTTTAAAGAATTTTTTGGAAGGAATCTTTGTTTAATAAACGTGGATTTTTTAAAGAATTTTTTTTTGGCAGGACCCTTCGACCAATAAACGTGGATTTTTTAAAGAATTTTTTGGAAGGACCCTTCGTTTAATAAACGTGGATTTTTTAAAGCATTTTTTGGAAGGAGCCTTCGTTTGATAAACGTGGATTTTTTAAAGCATTTTTTGGAAGGACCCTTCGTTTAATAAACGTGGATTTTTTAATGAATTTTTGGAAGGACCCTTCGTTTAATAAACGTGGATTTTTTAAAGCATTTTTTGGAAGGACCCTTCGTTTAATAAACGTGGATTTTTTAATGAATTTTTGGAAGGACCCTTCGTTTAATAAACGTGGATTTTTTAAAGAATTTTTTGGAAGGACCCTTCGTTTAATAAACGTGGATTCTTTTAAGATTTTTTTCCAAGTACTCCTGGAGCAATAAACGTGGATTTTTTAAAGAATTTTTTTGGAAGCACCCTTCGACCAATAAATGTGGATTTTTTAAAGAATTTTTTTGAAGGACCTTTCGACCACAAAACGTGGATTTTTTAAAGAATTTTTTCCAACCAACTTCCGACCAATAAACGTGGACTTTTTAAAGAATTTTTTCCAACCAACTTCCGACCAATAAACGTGGATTTTTTAAAGAATTTTTTCCAACCACCATCGGTCCAATAAACGTGGATTTTTTAAAGAATTTTTTCCAACCACCATCGGTCCAATAAACGTGGATTTTTTAAAGAATTTTTTCCAACCACCATCGGTCCAATAAACGTGGATTTTTTAAAGAATTTTTTCCAACCAACTTCCGACCAATAAACGTGGATTTTTTAAAGAATTTTTTCCAACCAACTTCCGACCAATAAAAGTGGATTTTTTAAAGAATTTTTTCCAACCAACTTCCGACCAATAAACGTGGATTTTTTAAAGAATTTTTTCCAACCAACTTCCGACCAATAAACGTGGATTTTTTAAAGAATTTTTTCCGACCAACATCAGATCAATAAACGTGGATTTTTTAAAGAATTTTTTCCAAAGACCTTCCGATTACAAAACGTGGATTTTTTAAAGAATTTTTTCCAAAGACCTTCCGACCACAAAACGTGGATTTTTTAAAGAATTTTTTCCAAAGACCTTCCGACCACAAAACGTGGATTTTTTAAAGAATTTTTTCCAAAGACCTTCCGACCACAAAACGTGGATTTTTTAAAGAATTTTTTCCAAAGACCTTCCGACCACAAAACGTGGATTTTTTAAAGAATTTTTTCCAAAGACCTTCCGACCACAAAACGTGGATTTTTCAAAGAATTTTTTCCAAGTACCCTTCGACCAATAAACGTGGATTTTTTAAGAATTTTTTCCAAGTACTCCTGGAGCAATAAACGTGGATTTTTTAAAGAATTTTTTTGGAAGGACCCTTCGACCAATAAATGTGGACTTTTTAAAGATTTTTTTGGCAGGACCCTTCGTTTAATAAACGTGGATTTTTTAAAGAATTTTTTGGAAGGACCCTTCCACCAATAAACGTGGATTTTTTAAAGAATTTTTTGGAAGGACCCTTCGTTTAATAAACGTGGATTTTTTAAAGAATTTTTTGGATGGACCCTTCGTTTAATAAACGTGGATTTTTTAAAGAATTTTTGGAAGGACCCTTCGTTTAATAAACGTGGATTTTTTAAAGAATTTTTTGGAAGGACCCTTCGTTTAATAAACGTGGATTTTTTAAAGAATTTTTTGGATGGACCCTTCGTTTAATAAACGTGGATTTTTTAAAGAATTTTTTGGAAGGACCCTTCGTTTAATAAACGTGGACTTTTTAAAGAATTTTTTGGAAGGACCCTTCGTTTAATAAACGTGGATTTTTTAAAGAATTTTTTCTCAGTTTAAAAAGTTGCTTTTTAAATATTTTTCAAATATTTCACATGTTGGTATTTTTTTTAATTAATTTTCAGTTTTTTTTAGTCGCACTTGCTCTCTCACTTCACTTCTTTTTGCGAAAATCAAAAAAGTAATCGAATATATAACTTAGTATATCACCATCATCGTCATCCTGCCAATCTTCTTCTTCGTCGGCATTCCATAGTTTTTCGGCAACCTGTTGCATTAATTTCGGATTATTCATTAATTTCTCCAATATCTCATTCAGTTCGGCATCATCCATGTCGCCACCGTTCATAGCGCGGTCTTTCAATATTTTCAAGATTTCATCTAAGGTTTCCTTTAGTTCGTCATTTGTCACCGTTTCGCCTGACGGAGTTGGAGCGGCCGTTGTCACATCACTATCGATATCCGGTGAGCCATCGACGGCGGGTTCGTCTTCTGTGGGAGTATCTGCGGGGGAATCCATGGGTGAGTCCATGGGAGTATCCATTGGTGAGTCACCAGGCATATCTGCAGCTGGGGCATCATCAGCTGGTGCATCGGCTGGCATGTCCCCGGCTGGAGCATCATCTGCTGGCGTATCCCCAGCCGGAGCATCGTCCTGCGGCGCCACCATCGCCAAACTCAGCAAAACCAACAACAAAATCACTGGGATTTTCATTTTTCTTTTCAAACGCGACTTTTCAAATGTTTTGGAATTTTTTTTCAACTAATATTTGAGGAATGTTGTAACTCAGCCATAAACCGTTGTATTTATATGCCGTGTTCTCCGTTTCAGCTTTGGAAATAAAAAGCTCAGATTTTCCAATGAAAAAAGCTAATAATAATAGGATTTTAAAATATTTTTATACCCTCCACCATAGCTAGTATGGAGGGTATATTATGTTCGTCATTCCGTTTGTAACACCTCGAAATATACATGACCCCACAAAGTATAAATATCCTATGTCAGCGTAAAATTCTACGACGATCTAGCGATGTCCGTCCGTCTGTCTGTCCGTCTGTGGAAATCACTCTAGCTTCCGAACGCAATGAAGTAGGTTGATAAAATTTTACTCAAATGTATATTATATATGCAGGACTTTTGGTATTGAAAATGGGCCATGTAGGTCCACGTCTTCGTATAGTCTCCATATAACGGTACCTCCCGATATTCGGTATTTTCAAGATTTTAGCGACATTATTTACCGGAATTGTTTTAAATTTGGTATTCGAAGTTCGCAATGGATACTACATCCTATGACGGAAAATTGCCTGTGCAGGTCCACGTCTTCGTATAGCCCCCATATGATGGTACCTCCCGATATTCGGAATTTTGCTGATTTTAGCGACATTATTTACCGGAATTGTTTCAAATTTGTAGTTGAAGTTCGTAATGGATATTACAGCCTATGACAGAAAATTGCCTGTGCAGGTCCACGTCTTCGTATAGCCCCCATATAACGGTACCTCCCGATATTCGGTATTTTAATGATTTTAGCGACATTATATACCGGAATTGTTTCAAATTTGGTATTTGAAGTTCGCAATGAATACTACAGCCTATGACAGAAAATTGTCAGTGCAGCTTCACGTTTTCGTATTGCCCCCATATATCGGTACCTCCCGATATTCGGTATTTTGATGATTTTAGCGACATTATGTACCGGAATTGTTTCAAATTTCGGATTTGAAGTTAGTAATGAATACTACAGCCTATGACAGAAAATTGTCAGTGCAGCTCCACGTCTTCGTATTGCCCCCATATAGCGGTACCTCCCGATATTCGGTATTTTGATGATTTTAGCGGCATTATTTAGCGGAATTGTTTCAAATTTAGTATTTGAAGTTCGTAATGGATACTACATCCTATTACAGAAAATTTTCTGTGCAGGTTCACGTCTTCGTATAGCCCCCATATAAGGGTACCTTCCGATATTCGGTATTTTGATGATTTTTGGCGACATTATTTACCGGAATTGTTTCAAATTTGATATTTGAAGTTCGTAATGGATGCTACAGCCTATGACAGAAAATTGTCTGTACAGGTCTACGTCTTCGTATAGCCCCCATATAAAGGTATCTTCCAATATCCGGTATTTTGATGATTTTAGCGACATTATTTACCGGAATTGTTTAAATTTTGGTATTTGGAGTTCGTAATAAATACTACAGCCTAAGACAGAAAACGGGTCATGTAGGTCCACGTTTTCGTATAGCCCCCATGTAGCGGTGCCTCCCGAAATTCGTTATTTTGATGATTTTAGCGATATTATTTACCGGAATTGTTTCAAATTTGGCATTTGAAGTTCGTAATGGATACTACAGCCTATGACAGAAAATTGTCTATGCACGTTCACGTCTTCGTATAGTCTCCATATAAGGGTACCTCCTGATATTCGGAATTTTGATGATTTTAGCGACATTATTTACCGGAATTGTTTCAAATTTTGTATTTGAAGTTCGTAATAGATACTACAGCCTGAGACGGAAAATGGGCCATGTAGGTCCACGTCTTCGTATAGCCCCCATATAACTGTACCTCCCGATATTCGGTATTTTGATGATTTTAGCGATATTATATACCGGATTTGTTTAAATTTTGGTATTTGAAGTACGTTATTGATACTACAGCCTCAGACAGAAAATTGTCTGTGCAGGTCTACGTCTTCGCATAGGCCCCATATAACAGTACCTTCCGATATTCGGTATTTTGGTGATTTTAGAGACATTATTTACCCGAATTGCTTCAAATTTGGTATTTAAAGTTCGCAATGGATACTACATCCTATGACAGAAAATTGTCTGTGCAGGTCCACGTCTTTGTATAGCCTCCATATAGGGGTACCTCCAGATATTCCTCGTATAGACCCTAATATACGGCTACATTCTGTATTTTTAAGGTTTTAATAGAATTTTTAATGGATTTTATTTTTTTTTGAAAACTACAAAATTGTGTCCAAATGGTGGAGGGTATTCACAGTTCGGCCCGGCCGAACTTGCAGCTTTTTTACTTATTTTATTTCAAAACATAAATTGAAAATTATGTTTTGTTTTATCTTTATGGGGGGACATGTGTAATTAGGTGTTGCTGGAAGGCAAACGAGAACTGAGGCAGTTGATAAACGACTTACCTTAACCTAGTGACGTAATTTTTATGATAAAAAAAAAATAGTTTTCAAAAAAGTTTTAGTGACAAACAAACCTATTTTCGAGGAGTTTTTTTTTTAAGGAAAAAAGATTTTTTTATTAATTAAAAAAATCAGTGAATCCAAATCCCGATCCTTTTCAGAAAAAATTTTCAAGAAAAATCCCAAAATTCAAACACAATTTTTTGCTTTCTTAGAGTTATCGAAAAAAATCCCCCTTCAGGATTTCCATTCGTTTAATGCGATGACACACCTACTGTACTACAAACATAGAATAATTTTTTTTCCGTAAAAATAAACAAATAAAAAATACATACAAAAATAATTCATAACTAATTAAGAAAAAAAGAAAATACAGAGAGAGAGAGAGGAAATTCTCTCTCTCCCTAAATTCTCCAAATGCCCTTCTTCATCAGGAAGCCATTCAAATTCTTTGTCGATGTCATCAACCATTTGGCATATTTCAATTGATCCTCCTTTTTGCGTTCGTCACGTTCGTCGCGTGCCTGCGACAGAAGATTGAAAATCTCTTGCAATTCCACGGCATAATCCTTATTTTCGCCCTGTACCAGATCGGCAAAAAAGGTACGATATTTGCCCACATCTTTCTTGGCCTTCAGCAGCCATGAACATTTTTCCGTTGGCATCAGCAGTGGGTCGTTGTGTTCGCTGACATCGAAACAATCGGGCGTGTTTTCGGGTATTATGAACGAGTGGCTTAACTGCAAAGAGAGGGAGAAAGAGAGAGAGAATGAGAAAAAAAAATTTAAAAAAAATTTTTTTTAATTTTTTTTATAATTTTATTCCATGGACTAATAAACGTGTACTTTTTAAAGAATTTTTTTTCGAGAACCACTAAACGTGGATTTTTTTAAAGATTTTTTTCCAAGGACCTATAAACGTGGATTTTTTAAAGAATTTTTTCCAAGGACCAATAAACGTGGATTTTTTAAAGAATTTTTCTCTTCGAACAATAAACGTGGATTTTTTAAAGAATTTTTTTCAAGGGCCAATGAACGTGGATTTTTTAAAGAATTTTTTTCAAGGGCCAATGAACGTGGATTTTTTAAAGAATTTTTTTTCAAGGGCCAATGAACGTGGATTTTTTAAAGAATTTTTTTCAAGGGCCAATGAACGTGGATTTTTTAAAGAATTTTTTTCAAGGGCCAATGAACGTGGATTTTTTAAAGAATTTTTTTCAAGGGCCAATGAACGTGGATTTTTTTAAAGAATTTTTTCCAAGGAACAATAAACGTGGATTTTTTAAAGAATTTTTTTCAAGGATCTTTCGAACAATAAACGTGTATTTTTTAAATAATTTTTTCCAAGGTCCTTTCGAACAATAAACTTGGATTTTTTAAAGAATTTTTTCTAAGGTCCTTTCAAACAATAAACGTGGATTTTTTAAAGAATTTTTCCAAGGACAATCCCAACAATAAACGTGGATTTTTTAAAGAATTTTTTCCAAGGACCTTTAGAAAAATAAACGTGGATTTTTTAAAGAATTTTTTCCAAGGATCTTTCGAACAATATACGTGGATTTTTTAAAGAATTTTTTCCAAGTACCCTTCGACCAATAAACGTAGATTTTTTAAAGAATTTTTTCCCTTCGAACAATAAACGTGGATTTTTTAAAGAATTTTTTCCCTTCGAAAAATAAACGTGGATTTTTTAAAGAATTTTTTCCCTTCGAACAATAAACGTGGATTTTTTAAAGAATTTTTTCCCTTCGAACAATAAACGTGGATTTTTAAAGATTTTTTTCCCTTCGAACAATAAACGTGGATTTTTTAAAGAATTTTTTCCAAGGACCAATAAACGTGGATTTTTTAAAGAATTTTTTCCAAGGACCATCCCAACAATAAACGTGTTTTTTTTTAAAGAATTTTTTCCAAGGACCATCCCAACAATAAACGTGGATTTTTTAAAGAATTTTTTCCAAGGACCATCCCAACAATAAACGTGGATTTTTTAAAGAATTTTTTCCAAGGACCATCCCAACAATAAACGTGGATTTTTTAAAGAATTTTTTCCAAGGACCAACCCAACAATAAACGTGGATTTTTTAAAGAATTTTTTCCAAGGACCAACCAACCAATAAACGTGGATTTTTTAAACAATTTTTTCCAAGGACCAACCAACCAATAAACGTGGATTTTTTAAACAATTTTTTCCAAGGACCAACCAACCAATAAACGTGGATTTTTAAACAATTTTTTCCAAGGACCAACCAACCAATAAACGTGGATTTTTTAAACAATTTTTTCCAAGTATCCTTGGCCTTAGTTTTTTTTTAACAATTTTTTCCAAATATCCTTGGAGCAATAAAGGTGGATTTTACTTGAAAAATTACTTTTTAAACAATTTTTTCCAAGTATCCTTGGCCTTGGATTTTTTTTAACAATTTTTTCCAAATATCCTTGGAGCAATAAACGTGGATTTTACTTGGAAAATTATTTGGGAAAAAAATTTAAAAAAACGTCCACGTTTATTGGTCGAAGGGTACTTGGAAAAAAAATTTAAAAAAACGTCCACGTTTATTGGTCGAAGGGTACTTGGAAAAAATTGTTTAAAAAATCCACATTTATTGGTCGAAGGTTACTTGGAAAAAATTCTTTAAAAAAACGTCCACGTTTATTGGTCGAAGGGTACTTGGAAAAAATTGTTTAAAAAATCCACGTTTATTGGTCGAAGGGTACATGGAAAAAAATTTAAAAAAACGTCCACGTTTATTGGTCGAAGGGTACTTGGAAAAAATTCTTTAAAAAATCCACGTTTATTGGTCGAAGGGTACTTGGAAAAAATTCTTTAAAAAATCCACGTTTATTGGTCGAAGGTTACTTGGAAAAAATTCTTTAAAAAATCCACGTTTATTGGTCGAAGGTTACTTGGAAAAAATTCTTTAAAAAATCCACGTTAATTGGTCGAAGGTTACTTGGAAAAAATTCTTTAAAAAATCCACGTTTATTGGTCGAAGGTTACTTGGAAAAAATTCTTTAAAAAATCCACGTTTATTGGTCGAAGGTTACTTGGAAAAAATTCTTTAAAAAATCCACGTTTATTGGTCGAAGGTTACTTGGAAAAAATTCTTTAAAAAATCCACGTTTATTGGTCGAAGGTTACTTGGAAAAAATTCTTTAAAAAATCCACGTTTATTGGTCGAAGGTTACTTGGAAAAAACTCTGTAAAAAATCCACGTTTATTGGTCGAAGGTTACTTGGAAAAAATTCTTTAAAAAATCCACGTTTATTGGTCGAAGGTTACTTGGAAAAAATTCTTTAAAAAATCCACGTTTATTGGTCGAAGGTTACTTGGAAAAAATTCTTTAAAAAATCCACGTTTATTGGTCGAAGGTTACTTGGAAAAAATTCTTTAAAAAATCCACGTTTATTGGTCGAAGGTTACTTGGAAAAAATTCTTTAAAAAATCCACGTTTATTGGTCGAAGGTTACTTGGAAAAAACTCTGTAAAAAATCCACGTTTATTGGTCGAAGGTTACTTGGAAAAAATTCTTTAAAAAATCCACGTTTATTGGTCGAAGGTTACTTGGAAAAAATTCTTTAAAAAATCCACGTTTATTGGTCGAAGGTTACTTGGAAAAAATTCTTTAAAAAATCCACGTTTATTGGTCGAAGGTTACTTGGAAAAAATTCTTTAAAAAATCCACGTTTATTGGTCGAAGGTTACTTGGAAAAAATTCTTTAAAAAATCCACGTTTATTGGTCGAAGGTTACTTGGAAAAAATTCTTTAAAAAATCCACGTTTATTGGTCGAAGGTTACTTGGAAAAAATTCTTTAAAAAATCCACGTTTATTGGTCGAAGGTTACTTGGAAAAAATTCTTTAAAAAATCCACGTTTATTGGTCGAAGGTTACTTGGAAAAAATTCTTTAAAAAATCCACGTTTATTGGTCGAAGGTTACTTGGAAAAAACTCTGTAAAAAATCCACGTTTATTGGTCGAAGGTTACTTGGAAAAAATTCTTTAAAAAATCCACGTTTATTGGTCGAAGGTTACTTGGAAAAAATTCTTTAAAAAATCCACGTTTATTGGTCGAAGGTTACTTGGAAAAAATTCTTTAAAAAATCCACGTTTATTGGTCGAAGGTTACTTGGAAAAAATTCTTTAAAAAATCCACGTTTATTGGTCGAAGGTTACTTGGAAAAAATTCTTTAAAAAATCCACGTTTATTGGTCGAAGGTTACTTGGAAAAAATTCTTTAAAAAATCCACGTTTATTGGTCGAAGGTTACTTGGAAAAAATTCTTTAAAAAATCCACGTTTATTGGTCGAAGGTTACTTGGAAAAAATTCTTTAAAAAATCCACGTTTATTGGTCGAAGGTTACTTGGAAAAAATTCTTTAAAAAATCCACGTTTATTGGTCGAAGGTTACTTGGAAAAAACTCTGTAAAAAATCCACGTTTATTGGTCGAAGGTTACTTGGAAAAAATTCTTTAAAAAATCCACGTTTATTGGTCGAAGGTTACTTGGAAAAAATTCTTTAAAAAATCCACGTTTATTGGTCGAAGGTTACTTGGAAAAAATTCTTTAAAAAATCCACGTTTATTGGTCGAAGGTTACTTGGAAAAAATTCTTTAAAAAATCCACGTTTATTGGTCGAAGGTTACTTGGAAAAAATTCTTTAAAAAATCCACGTTTATTGGTCGAAGGTTACTTGGAAAAAATTCTTTAAAAAATCCACGTTTATTGGTCGAAGGTTACTTGGAAAAAATTCTTTAAAAAATCCACGTTTATTGGTCGAAGGTTACTTGGAAAAAACTCTGTAAAAAATCCACGTTTATTGGTCGAAGGTTACTTGGAAAAAATTCTTTAAAAAATCCACGTTTATTGGTCGAAGGTTACTTGGAAAAAATTCTTTAAAAAATCCACGTTTATTGGTCGAAGGTTACTTGGAAAAAATTCTTTAAAAAATCCACGTTTATTGGTCGAAGGTTACTTGGAAAAAATTCTTTAAAAAATCCACGTTTATTGGTCGAAGGTTACTTGGAAAAAATTCTTTAAAAAATCCACGTTTATTGGTCGAAGGTTACTTGGAAAAAATTCTTTAAAAAATCCACGTTTATTGGTCGAAGGTTACTTGGAAAAAATTCTTTAAAAAATCCACGTTTATTGGTCGAAGGTTACTTGGAAAAAATTCTTTAAAAAATCCACGTTTATTGGTCGAAGGTTACTTGGAAAAAATTCTTTAAAAAATCCACGTTTATTGGTCGAAGGTTACTTGGAAAAAACTCTGTAAAAAATCCACGTTTATTGGTCGAAGGTTACTTGGAAAAAATTCTTTAAAAAATCCACGTTTATTGGTCGAAGGTTACTTGGAAAAAATTCTTTAAAAAATCCACGTTTATTGGTCGAAGGTTACTTGGAAAAAATTCTTTAAAAAATCCACGTTTATTGGTCGAAGGTTACTTGGAAAAAATTCTTTAAAAAATCCACGTTTATTGGTCGAAGGTTACTTGGAAAAAATTCTTTAAAAAATCCACGTTTATTGGTCGAAGGTTACTTGGAAAAAATTCTTTAAAAAATCCACGTTTATTGGTCGAAGGTTACTTGGGAAAAATTCTTTAAAAAATCCACGTTTATTGGTCGAAGGTTACTTGGAAAAAACTCTGTAAAAAATCCACGTTTATTGGTCGAAGGTTACTTGGAAAAAATTCTTTAAAAAATCCACGTTTATTGGTCGAAGGTTACTTGGAAAAAACTCT